ATCCCCAAAATTCAAAAACTCAAGTGTTGGTCATCAGAGGCTGATGAAGATATCAGCGACTTTTGTGGGTTTTCCTGTGCCTGCTAAGATCCACATTGTTCTGCAGACAGGCTGATATCTGACCATGCCACTATAGCCTGACGTTTGACCAGGCCATTTTTCATCTGAAAAGGCTCGGGTTACAGCGAGGGGGACCTCTGTCGGGGTCATGTGTGTGTGTTTGTGTGTGTGTGTGTGTGTGTGTGTGTTTTGAGTCAAAGCATGCTTCTGTGCACAGCAGCTCCCACTATGACTTTCAATCAGAATGCTTCATATCCAGTTGAACCTTCTACCCAGCCTCCCAAGCTGACACCCCACCCCTCTACCCTTCTTTCAACCCTGTACGCTCCCAGGAGCCCCGGCGTTAACCCCTTTTCCCCTGACACTGCCCCCCTCCCCCAGAGACTCGCCGAGAGACAGGTGACTGATGCAGACTGTCGATATGGTCTAGAGATAACACGAATAAAGGATTCAACCCCCCTAATGCCATTCACCACACCCACTCACTCCTCTTGCTCCTAACCCCTCCCTAGCCCCTATCACCGCCCCCCCCCCCTTTCTCATTCATTGGGAAGGAAGCTTCGCAGCAGCTTCAACCAGCGGCAGTAGTAGTAGTAGCGGGCTTTGTTGTAGACTCAAAACAGGCGAGAGAAGTGCGTAGAGTAATGTGAAGGCACCGAGATTACCGGACATGAAGCTATGAAGTGCAGAGCATGAGAGCACAGTCAAAAGTTTGGAGTGGAACCGGGTGAGAGAGAAAATCTGTCAACGGAGCGTTGTTTCAAAGAAAGGAACAGGAAGCGACTGTCTGTCATTACCACCGATACCACGGTCGCTACTATCACAATTGGGGAAGCCGCAACTGCAGCACTGAGTTTCTGCTTTTTGGAAGGCATTTCCTGGTGAGCATGTTGTTTGCATTAACAATAGAAACTTTGTGACGCTTCTATTTGTCCTTTTTTTTTTTTTTTTTTTTTTTGCTGTGTACAAAACATGTTGACTAGCGCTTCTTTGTAGTAGCACAAAATGTATTCAGCATCTACTTTAAGAGTAGCTGCACTCATGAATATATCAGTGAATGCTACAAGACGTAAAATAAGGCAAAATTGGTCACTAATCCAATTCAGGAAGTGCTGGTTTCTTGTCTAAAATTGAACATTCTGTGGCTTTGATTGTTTTAAGACTTTTATCTGCATTCAAACCAGTACAACTTCTAAGCATCCACAGTTGTAATTTGAGGGATTTGCCTGCACTCAACTGCAAATGTTTGCAGTTGGAGCCGTTTTTATTGGCTGGAGATTTGGAGCCCCATTTGTTTTTAATCATGTGCGTTTGTGGCTCGAGCATCAGGAAGCAGTTAACACAAGATTGAGCCTCCGTATACTCACGTTATTAGGCGCTCTCATTACCGGTGGTGAATGTTTTTAGACGTGTATGTCAGTCAGGAGAGACACATCCACATTTGGTTGTTTTAATGAAGTTTCTCAGCTCCTTTACAATGCTCACAACTAGCGTGTGTGTGTGTGTGTGTGTGTGTGTGTGTGTGTGTGTGTGTGTGTGTGTGTGTGTGTGTGTGTGTGTGTGTGTGTGTGTGTGTGTGTGTGTGTGTGTGTCTTTGTATGTGGTTGAATCAACTGATGATGTGAGGAAGCTCAGTTTGTGAAAAGCGGGGGATAGTGTAATTAGATGAGGAGGAACTCTTTTGGGCCCCTCCCCCAGCCACCAGACAGCAGACACACACTCAGCGACCTCATTCTGATGTATGTGCGTGCACACATGCACACAAACACACACACACACACACACACACACACACACACACACACACACACACACACACACACTCACTCACACGTTTCCTCAGGCTGTGTTACAGAGGTCAGAGGGTCGAGTTGGAATAATATAGTCATGATCAGGGCCATATGTCCATTGTTGAATGGGATGTGTGATGCCTGCACAAATTGTTCTTGAATATTTCTTGTCAGGATTATTTTTCGTAGGGCTGAACGATGTGGAAAAATAATCAAATTGTGATTTTTTTTTCAATATTGCGATTGTGATTTGCGATTATTTTTTCCATTGTCTTTTTCCCATGATTTTTTTTTCTCAACCATTTTTTCCCCCAAGTATTTCAATGAACAATTTCAGGTTTTATTATCCATAAATGTTCTTTCCTAACAGGTTTGACTTCCGCTAACGTAATGGCAAATTAACCATTAATTAATTATTTTTCTGCTTCAATTATAGTTAATTTACGAAACGGTTTGACTTTCAGTCTTTTAAGCACTCACTACGACAACTTAAAAAAATTCCACCCAACAAGTGTGGCACAACAAGTCATAAATCAGATTACAACAATAATGCAAACAATTGTGTAGCTTTATCACTTTGACATTTAATGTTCCACGAAAAATATGTAAACGTGGACTGCACGTATGAGCACCAAACTTATCTTGACACTATAAACAATAAAAAAAGCCTACCACATACCCAAGTGAAGCATTCCCCCCCAAAATGTATTGTACTACAATGCGATGTCAATTTGAATTTGATTAATTGTCCTGATTTCAGGCAGGCAGTAAAATCACACACTGAATTTGTATTTTCGCCTTTCTTAGTTGAAGGACCATTATTTCTCTTGTTTAAGTCCTTTTATTTTATCAGTATGATTTCATCCAAAATATTTAACGGTAGCTAGTAATGTAATTACTGCCACATGCATCATAGGACAGGCCTCGGGATAATCACTTTCGCATCACGGTCTGTTGGGCAAAGTTGGTATTTTGTGCCTCATTAAAACACATTGAAAAGAAAAACTGGGAATCAAATACAAAGACAACCATCAAAAGAAAGTAGTAGTAGAAGAAGCAACGAAACCTTTGTACAAAAGCTTCACTAGCCTCACATCACCCACCGCAGGTAGTTGGTGGTCGAGGAGGAATGGCTGTTATTTGTTTGTTTTCGCAATCGAGGCCTGAGTTTGGATTTTTGAGGTCTGCACAATAATCCATCCATCGATTGTCCAATCCGCTTATCCTCACGAAGGTCGCGGGCATGCTGGAGCCTATCCCGGCTGTCTTCGGGCAGTAGGCGGAGTACACTCAGAACTGGCCGCCAGCCAATCGCAGGGCACCCAGAGACGAACAACAACCTTTCACACTCACAATAACACTTACGGACAATATAGAGTATCCAATTAACGAACTCAATTTTGCTTTACTTGGGTTTTCTCCAGGTACTCTGGTTTCCTCCCACGTTCCAAAAACATGCATGGCAGGCCGATTGAACACTGGTGTGGGTGTGGGCGTGGATGGTTGTTCGTCTCTGTGTGTATTTGATAGCTGCAACCTTAAATTATGATCAATTAAAAAAAATGCCTGCTTGGATCGGAATATTGTTCCAGATATTCAAATGCATTCATATCAGAGTTGGCTCCTGGTCTCCAATTGTGAATGGCCTTGCAGGCGCCGCTGTCCTCGGGTCGGCTGTAAATAAGCACGCTGCTGTGCTTTTCCCTCTGCTTGCTCATGTGACTGCTCCTAGTGAGCAATTGAGCTGTCCCCTCCACAACCGGAACAAAGCACTGCATGGTTCCACACCCACTTCTCAATTAAGCAGCTTTTAGTTCCTTCAAAACACCTCTCCGGGAGGTTTAAATGAAAGCCTTGACCCCTTGATAGCCTTCACATTCACTAACAGATCCCTGCACAACCCCTACTAATGTGTTTGCATCGAAATATCTGGTTGCCTCTCTCATTTTCCATTTTCTTTCCTTTTCACAGCACTTCTAATGAGAGGATTCTGTGATTTTACGTTGCTCCGGCAAATGAACGAAGAAGTGTTGTTGGTGCCAGTCCTCCCCAAAACAATAGCCTTTTCTTTTTACCATAAAACTGACTCTGACCCTTGAGGTGTATGTATTTATTTATTTTTGTTATTATTATTTTGGGGAAGGATTTCTGGTTTTCTTAATTTTCTCGTAATATCGTCCTTGTTTATTGTGCGTATAACTTTGGAAATGAGAGAAGGAAGACGCTTATGATCTTGCAGCTACATTTTAATTCAAACAGATACAGCCACTGGGATTGACACATCATTCAGCATGTATAATTGCAAGATTTTAGTCAGCAATTGTACAAAACATGTACGTAGTTCCTATTACCAAGAATACTTTAGCATACATTTTTTTTCTCGTCATTTGCCCAGAAATGTGCTTTAAAAATACATTTTGTCCAAATGTCAATTCATTTTTATGAAACCCCACAATGTATCAGTTTTGCTACTAATTCCAAGTGAAGATTTCTGGTCACCTGATGACGTGATGCGATCTTTGCCGATCTGCCGATTACATACCCCGCTCAGTTAATCAGATCAGCTGTGTGACACGTGGACATGGATGTAAACATCACGTGATTTATCAAGATGCCGCTTTTTTATGTCTTATTAGCCCAGTACTTGTGAATGTTTTAACACTTTGATCAAATCAACATCTTGACAAAAACAAGTTTCAAGTACTTTAAAACAAGTTCTCCCATCGCAGACAAGCTCTGGTAAGATGCTGCCATTTCACTGAGCCTATATGAAGACATGCATTTGCATCAAGACAGAGCATTCGCAGACCGGACACAGTTTGGCTATTCGGATTGAACTGTTTACATGATGCTCACACCTCTGTGAATCTGGGCAGTTAAAGCACTGATCAAACAAATATGTGTTGAACTGCATGAAAAATTGTGAGCCAGACCCTCCTTGACAAACTTCAGAATCCCAAAGTTGAAGCCTTTGTTTGCTCTTCCCACCACCATCTTTTATTTAGTGAGATTTGTACCTGAATCATCTTAACTAAAAACATGCATTTTTTTATAACCCAAATCTAGAAACCCGACATATTTCCATTTCCAGTTTGCCAAGTAGGAGAACAAACAGTATGTTTCATGAAACCGTTTCTCTTCCTTTTCCAGTCACCCTTCCAGGTGCTCTCCTTGCCCCCGTTTCATCCTCCTCCGCCTCCCTCACAACACGCCGCTCCACTTCCAACTCGTCCTCATCCACGATGCAGACCTCATACCGACTTCCCAACCCTTTGCCTCCCCTGCCCGTTCGCAAGGGTGTCAGAGGTCGCCGTCCCAAGTCGCAGACTATTGCTTTGTTGAAGGCCGCGGCTGAGGCTGCAGCAGCTGCAGCGGTCAATGGAGCATCACAGAGCCCTGTCAGGGCCACTCAATTGGCCCCCAGACCGCACAGGAAGAGAGGGCCCAAGCCTGGGAGCAAGGTGAGATGATACTGCCATATTTTGTCTTGATAGTAATGGAAAGATGGTTTTAAGCCACGACTTTTTCACAGGGGATGCGTTCCAGACACACACTTTACTGAAATGCACCACACCAGGCATGGATTACTTAAATAGGTCATTGGTTGTTTAAAAAAAAAAAAAAAAAAAAGGAAAAAAGGATTCCATTCCATACAAACAGCAGCAGCTTTAACAGTGTGCCATGCAACAAAATAAATTTAAACATTGTACGTATATTCAAACCCCAAAATGTTCAACCAAACCATACGGTACAACTTCTCTGTGGGCCGAGTAGGCGACCTTCTCCTTATCTTGCCGCATCTACATCCAGTAAAGCTCGGTGTGGTCAGCATGTCGCAGCACAACGTGGCACTCTAGACGGAATGCACGCACCTCGAAATGTGGACTTGTGCACTCTGAAATCACGATAAATCAAAGGTTCACTGTAAACCATAAACAGGACAGAGATGGATCTTATGTGCGAGTAAGGTGTGATGAATGTGTAATGTAAAGCATTACCTCATGACCTAAGGACTTTTTTGTGGGGGGTTGTTTTCTTTTTTTTTTAGAGAAAGCCTCGGGTGGTACAGTCACTGGGCTCATCGTCCAATCCAGCGTCTCCTCCAGAGACCAGACTGAGCACTAGCCATGTCTCAGTAGACAACCACCATAACAACAATTCAAATGTAGTCTGCACAGGTAAGTGTCATAGCCCATACAGTACAAGATGAGCTGGAATGTACTGACCGCTGCTAGAAAATGAATTGAACAACGTGGATTTGGTTTTTTTTTCCTTCCCCCTGGTTGTGTCCATTCAGTGTGCGTTTATGTGAACAAACACGGTGACTATGGCCCCCATCTTGACCGTAAACTGGTGCAGCAGCTCCCAGACCACTTTGGGCCAGCTCCAGTCAACACAGTGTTACAGCAAGCCGTCCAGGCCTGTGTGGACTGTACGTACCAACCCTCGGTGCTGCTCTCCTTCCTGCAGAGCCAGTCCCACACAGGAGGAGAGGTCATTCGAGGTCTGTAGTCTTGAATGCACACACAAGAACACAATTGTTTGGAAAAAAAACGAGCATTTTTTGGTGACTTTTCATCTGGGGATGGGTTGCCGCAGCTGTGTTGCTTTTAGCTTGCGTTATGGATTAATGTTGCTCATATTTGGAAGGATGTTTGTTTGTTCTTCTTGAGGGGCTTTACTCTGTTGATTTTGGTGGTCCAATGCCGCTCTATGAACATCGTGTTTGTTGATTTGGAAAGTCTGGTTGAGATTAACAAGGTTATAATTGCTATTTGGGTGCTGCCTTTAGTTGAATGCAGTTTGCCCCCTTACAAAATGTGATAGAGGTGGCCAGTTTGTTTCGGCATGCAGATCTTACTTTGGCAGCAATATTGTGGATACTCAATCTACACAGTGAACCTGTGTTCACCCGATTGGCTGCAATAAGTGAAAAACTACAATATAGAGAGACCAAATAAAAACACACACTTTAAATACCTGTCAACATACACTGAAATATAAGAAAACATGTTTTAGCAGGTATTCCTCCCTACTATTGCTATCAAGAAATAGGAGACTATCCTGTACCAAATGAAAATCAAACACTGGTGCTGCAGAGTTCTCCAAATCAGAACCCAAGCGTGCTTGCTTCAAGTTGTTTTTGTCACTCGCAGTTGAAGTTCACTGTAAAACCGACAGAACAAAAGACAATTAAATATGATATGGATTGTTAAACACCAAAGCATTCACCCAACCCACATATTAACAAAGTGTGCTGGCCTAATCCTAACATGCAATGGAAATGCCATAGATGAGCGAATGGATATTCACATAAATGGTATGATATTCATAAACCTTCTAACAACTCTACTTTCACACTCACATACAACACATACAAGCAGAGGATAGAACCTTACAGGCGGACATATTCTCTTAGCTCGGTGGGAACAATGACAGTTAGTGGAGTTGAGTAGGGGACCTTCTCTGCCTCATCTTCTTTCTCCTCTACATTCTCTTCTATTGCGCTGCTGTTCTTCCAAATTAACCTCAGTGCTGCGGTACCTGTTCCTGGCACAAGTGCTATTGCACTGAAGCTGCGCAACGTTTAACTTGGACTCGCGTGTCTACTAATGGGGAACTGTGAACATCTGTGAAAGAAGATCACTTAGACATCGGCGATATGGCACACTCCGCATCGTACTGCATTGTTTCATAAGATACAAAAGAAAAACTGCATTACATGGTCTGCTTCAGTGATGAGGATGCTCCGTTTTGATAGATGTTGCCTATACAGTATTTTATTTTCTCACGTAGCTAAGCTAGACTCAAGTTTCTTTGTGCAGGCAGATTATTTAATGCTTCTCTTAGACAGTATTGTGTGTCTTTTAGAGGTGCAACGATTAATCGATTCATTGACAATGAGTTGAGTATTAAATTAATTGATTCATAAAAAATTGGGTCGTAATCAATTAATCGTTATGATCCCTTTTCAAATTTGAAATGGTCCAAATCCTCAGAAATTCAGCTTCTCATCATTCAATATCCTCCAATTTCTGAAGTCCTCCATGAGAGCAGACTGATTATCTTAATCCAAATTTGCTCCGGTGTAAGATATCTCGCAACAAAATACATCGGTGCAGCACCGAAGCAAATGTGTGTCGTGTGAACACCCCTTATGTTGAATACAAAAAAAAACATTTGCATTTACTTTGGAAAACCGTGATCAACTTCTTTTTTTGCCTATTTTGTGACATGTTCTGGCCCAAACCAGTAGCTGAATCATCACTGATTTTTGTTTGTGCATTTTCTGCTCTGTCGATTTGAAATCATTTCTTATTTTTGAATACAGGGATGGAAAACAAAAGAATCAGATGAATCCCTTATTAAAATATTAATTAGTAGCAGCCTTAGTAGACATTGTGCAGATGGTCATATAATGTTGTGGCTGGCTACTGTACAGTATACTGTAGGCCTTTTTTTTTTAAGATTATTAAAAAGGCCACATAATGCTGGTAGCAGGAATACCAACAAACATATACTCTAATAAATTAAAATAAAACGTTTTTTTCTTATTTGTCAACAATTTGGCCTTGGAGGTTGTTTTTACTGTAATCATGACACATTCCCTATTCCATACAGGCAATCATCCAGACCAAATTGGAAGTCATTCTGAAATAAATGTGATTGACTACGCGTGTGTATTTTGGGGCGAAATTACTGACATACAGGATGAAAATAAAAGACAATGCCTGTGGCCACGTCTGACGTGAACGCTGGGACTGTAATCAGAAGTGACATGTGCATCTAACCTGTTTTTGGAAGCTCGGATTGAGTCTCCCTCGAGGGTGGTGGGATTGGGAAGGGTACGGGCCAATGGGGAGGGGATGGGGGAACATTAATTTGTGTGTTTGTGCAAGCTTGGCTTGGGTGGGAGGGTGTTGTGCAGATTGAGGGTTGTGGGTTTGTGCTGATAAAAGGAGGGCGCTTAACCCCAAACCATCTGCTGTTTTCCTTTAACTGTGGATGCATTCAGCCCGCGTGTGAGCAGGTGTGAGCCCACACATCGGACACACACACACACACACACACACACACACACACACACACACACACACACACACACACACACACACACACACACACACACACACACTAATACAGTATGCATTTTTGTTTTGTCTTCCAGTGCGCTCCGAGCATGGTATCCGTTATGTCAAGCTCCCGTCTGTCTCCAGTGCGTCCACAGTGCTGAGGTTCTTGGAGAACCTATGTCAGCATCTGGAGAGTGTCAGCCTGTTCAGCTCACAGCCGTTCAGCCCCTTCAGCAAAAACACACACTTCTTTGACCGGACAAAGTCAGGTTTGTGTGTACAGTATAAACAGATATAAATATTGCAAAATGTGTTATAACATTTCCACCCCCTCCCCGCCAAACAAAAACATAATTGGAAACAGGTTACAAACTATTTCGAAATAGTAGAGCAGCCTTGACCAGGCCTCCTCCATTATCAATGGGCCTCCTATTAATTGTAATTCCAGTGTACCTTCACCGGCCACTTGATTAGGTACACCATGCTCGTAACGGGTTGGACCCCCTTTTGCCTTCAGAACTGCCTCAATTCTTCGTGGCATGGATTCAACAAGGTGCTGTAAGCATTCCTCAGAGAGTTTGGTCCATATTGACATGATGGCATCACACAGTTGGCGCAGATTTGTCGGCTGCACATCCATGATGCGAATCTCCCGTTCCACCACATCCCAAAGATGCTCTATTGGATTGAGATCTGGTGACTGTGGAGGCCATTTGAGTACAGTGAACTCATTGTCATGTTCAAGAAACCAGTCTGAGATGATTCCAGCTTTATGACATGGCGCATTATCCTGCTGAAAGTAGCCATCAGAAGTTGGGTACATTGTGGTCATAAAGGGAATGACATGGTCAGCAACAATACTCAGGTAGGCTGTGGCGTTGCAACGATGCTCAATTGGTACCAAGGGGCCCAAAGAGTG